TCCAAAGCTAGCTCAAAAAGTTTTGAAAAGTGAAGATAAAGAACATTTACAGGAGCATAGTTCTTAACAAATACTAATAACGGGCTAGTTTGTGAGACAGAAAAATCCCCTTCTGAAATCAAGTTGAATACTGTAATATTTATACAAGAAAAGGAAAGCCAAAGTATGTAAATTGTTAGGTTTTATTCATCAGCTTTTAGGTGCAAAGTTACACAATGGGCTGTCTGTGCTCTATCTGATAGGAATCAATCCCCAGATTTCAGCATTTTAAATCCATAAACCTATTTATGTCCCATTAAGGGATTTTTAGGTTTATAATAATATGGTATTGCAGAAAGTGTTAGAGATAAAGAGTAATTATTAATGAACTTCTGACACCTTTACATGACAGAGTAGATAGTTATTTCAACCATGTAAATAAGTAGTGATGTATCATTAACAGTACTGTGTATAGGTATAGGTTTGGTGTCTTTATTATGAAAAATATACAGATGCTGGAGAAAAATTGAAGATCATGAGTACTAGAATAATACTAGTTTAAAAACTTTAAACTATGAATTGTACTACAGGTATTTGTGAAACAAAACTATTATCCTTAGTTTTCTTTTATACTTTATGTATATATCACACAAAACTGAAATAAGCTTAATCAAATAAAAAGAATGAGCTTGTCTAAACCCTTTCAATATGGGGTCAGTCAATGTGATGATCTCGTAACCATTTTGTGCTTGTTATACTTTTAAATTAGTAAGTGAATGTTAACAAAATTCGGCAGATTATCAGTAAACATTACAATGCTTTCATACCCCAAATATCTAATTTTTTTATTAAGTTGTAAGGCTTGTAAAACAATGTTTCTCTCATGCCTTTTTTTCTTTTCACATCTTGTCTATCTATCATGCAAAGTAATTTTGATCTATTTATATACTAAAACTCTGAGATTGTTTGTGTGTGCATTTGTCTGCACACAATAGCACCATATTTGTAATGAAATGTGAATAGAAACAGAATAAAACAAATTTAGTTAAAATCGGGCCATGGGTTACCGAGTTATCCCCGTTTTTCGGGTCACTTTTAAGAAAATTTCTAGATTAATTTAGGTACACTAGATAGAGCCACATATCGGTTTATCTATCTATCTATTCGTTTTCCACCTGATGAATCACTTTAAAATATCTTCTATAAAACAATATATGCACAACAGAAATTAAATGATGAGATGAAAATGTGTTATAACGGCGAATAGAGAGAACAACAATAAAATCGACCTACAATATTATTGACTATTTACAAGTAGTAACTATGGAGACGAGGTAATAAGATAAAAATCAAGTTGAGAACAACAACAAACTTTTATAAACGAAAATCTCTCGCTGGGCATTGGCTATTATATTATTTCCCTGTCAATGTTTCCATCTTCATTTAAAAGGCATAAGATGACAAGAATAAGATCTTGAAGAATCTATCTATATACTACTAAAAACTCTGAGATTGTTTGTTTGCTTATTTTCTCAGTCAAAAAAATCCTTCACACTACCATTTGCACTCTTTACAAAACTTCATCGGGCCACGGGTTACCG